CCGCTGAAAAAGGAGCGCTTCAGTTGCACACAAGTTGAAAGAAATAAACGTTCCTTCAGAATGGCTTCCTTAATGAAACAATTGGTGACAAAGCATCAAAAACTTCCTCATGTGGAAGCTTTTCAAGACATCCTAAGACCAAAGGCAGGGGTTCCGAGTCTTCCGTGTTCCTATGAGCCGATCTGAGGGTTGGGGGCTTTTTCTGCCTTGTCTCCTATGTGATCGTTATTGCCTCCAGCTCAGCAACAGGATGCAAAGGTTATGCTTGTCCAGGGGATGGACACACACACAGATCACACATACACAAACACAAACGCAATAAGCCTCGATGAACAAGGAAAGTTTGTGCTTCCTTGACTCGCATTGACTGCGGCGAACCAGTAGATTAGATGTGTAAAGAGGCTGTCCCTTCGTAAAGTTAAAGTTCTCATGTCATGGGCGGCAACTAGTGCTGGGACTGGTGTGAAATGGATGCAAAGGCCACATTGCTACCTTGTGAGCAAAAGCCCGGTAAAACATCGTTAGAATGATCCTGAACTTCTGAAGGGTTTTTCTTTTCGCTTTGCGTGCTACACAAAGTGGCTTGGCTTTGTCTTCGTTCAGGCTGACTGTGGAGGCCCCTTACTACATCTCCAGTCCTGGCGATTGAAAGCCTTGTCCTCCGTGCTGGTGGGAATTGGGAGAAGACGTCTCCCGCAGCAGGGCAAGGGAAATCGCTTTCTTTCTTGGTAATAAATGATTGTTATTGGGTGGAACGGTTTGTTGATTCTGGCCAGCAAAGTGTGTCCTTTGTTCATCCAGATGTGCGGTGTGCCCCTATCACCGCTTTTGGTTGAACAGCAGCAGTTTTGCCAATTGGGTTTGCTGCTCAAGACTGCATCACGTTTCCATATGTTCACTCACCTGCGCTTGCCGCTCTCCCGATAGTGCAAATTACTTACGGGAAATCCGTGCATCATGATCATCATGTTGAAATTCGCGAGCCACACGTTCAAGATTGACTCCCTGTTTGTTGTGTGTGTGCTGAATCCACTGCCTCACATTCCACTATAAAATGTGGTCTTTCATTGGCACTTTGAGGGGATCCTTTTAGATCCTTTTAGTAGTTCTGCAGTCTTTCTAGGAATGCCGCTCCAACTGACCAGCCGCTCTCCGAATTAAATTTTCTCAAAAGAAATCCAAGTGCAAAAGAATCTGCTTGGCAGCCTTTAAAGATCTTTTTAAGTCAGGTTGGCTTCCTCCGTCCAGATCCACCCCCGTGCCATCTGAGTGGACAGGTTCTGCCTTTGTGCTTCTTGGTTTGGAGCTAAGCATGCTCGAGAAACAAGAATAGGCATCATTTGCTGTACATGCTTATTCCGCCCATGCCAAGAAACTACGGTATGAGTCTGTGCGATTCAGATTTATCTGAATTACAATAAGTGCCCTTGAGCATGCACACTAAAGGCGAGGCTCATGAAGGGTTGCTTAGCCTGTTCTGCTAGGGACTCCCAAGCGACAGGCTCCGGCTACTTTGATGTCCCAAGCACACCAAAGAAGAAAGAAGAACTAACATCGTAGGGCAGTTTGTGGTGTCCTGCACCTTCGGTTGTTTCCGAAGCACTTCAGGACCTGCGGAAACGCTGATTGATTGGTGCTTGAGCTAGGAGTTTCTTCTGTTTGGATGTGCGTGTCAATGCTCCTTTGGGACTCTCAGGGCATCCTGAACATCGTCCTGAGTCTAGAATCTCCATGAGTCAGCAAGATATAGATCATGCCCCATCATACCTCATCAGCGCTCCGGAAAGACCCCGACACGCGATTCAATCGCATCACGTCTGCTCTGGGCCTCCGCCGGTGAGCGGCCCAGGATCAGCGCTGGCTTTCCATGACCTCGTCGATGTCGGTGGCAGCTGTGTTGGTAGCAGCATGCTGAGAGCTTGAAGCAACAAGACTTAGGACTCTAAGAATTAGCTTCCAGGCTCGTAAGCTAGAGGAAGTTCACCAGGTGAACCCTCCAAAGAAGGAAATTCGCTCTATCTAAATCTACTCTCCAGTGTGGTGCCAGATCATCCCATTCTGTTCACACACAGAGATTTCCGCACAGGTGAAACTAATCAGATGCATGATTTTGGCCATGTAGCAGACACAGCCGGTTGGAAGGTGCAGACTGCGTCAAGGACAGCTGCAGAGCTATTCAGAAGGTCTTATTCTATTCTGCCAGGTTGAGGTCTCTTCAGGCAACACCATCACGCCAGCAATGTGACCGTGAACCGATAATAGGCATTCATATAGGCTTTTAGACGGGGTCCTGCTGGCCTGGAGGAACTTTGAAGGTTCGGTGCACTGAAGATGTCTATATACGGTGTTCAACCAACACCCAGGTGAGTCAATACATGACGTATCAAGTACACTGTTACATACTCTCCCAAGGGGTTCACTTCCACAACATTTGAACATCTGGTGGATGTATCACTGCCCAAAGAGCTAAGTTGCTCTGAATTGCATTGGAAGCAGCCGACATGCGAGACCGCTCAGCCAGCTCAGGTCTTTGGGCTACTCATCCAGTTGTCCCATGCGGAGGCCCAGGCCCCGTGTGCCAAACTGCTGATTGACGACCCAAGCTGATTTCTGGTATTGTGAGACAAGAACAAAGGTGTAACTAAGGGTAGGGTGGACCTTGATTGTTACTCGAGACTCATGGTTGTGAATCTAAGGGTGTGCAAAGACGTAGGATGTGCCATCCGTGATGCAAATTCAGTGTCCTGGCCACTGGCTGCTGTATAAATTCTGTGCACAGTGTCCTGGTTTCCGCTACTTTATGGGAGCCAGAGCAGGACTGTAAAGACCGCAACACTTGCTTTGACAAATCAAGGTGTATGACTCCAAATGCATTGACATCGGATGCTATATGTATATATATATATTTATTTATTGTATTATATAGTTTCCTCTTCATTCATCGCACAAGGCAAGTGGGATAATTGCGCACAATTCAGACATACTGATCCGCGTTTCGCTGGAGCCTTGGTTGGTGTGCACTGTGTGCACAAATTCCTGTGAGGCTTTCGGTCAGTCCAACATAAAAGGATCAATAATGCCCCCGGGATGAGCACTGGCTCTTCAAGGCCCATTTTTGGCTCAAACTGTAGCCTGCGGCATCCCGCGGCCATGGCTCGAGTCTGGCGCCCAAGACACTGCATAGGAGTATATAGGAGTTGTTTCTGCTGAAAACAGCGCTTTGGCGCTTTGGCGTTGATGAACACTCTGCCTTTCCAATGACCATTGATTGAAAGATACCTGAGCACCAAACTATTCAGCTTCAGCGTTGTTGGTCAGCAGCCCTGCCTGGGTAGAAGAAGCCCATGTTCAGATGTCGACTTCATCCTCCACCTGGTTTTCTAATTGCCTTGATTTCCAAACGCACCATCATTCAACTCAAAATTCAGAAACAACTCCAGTCAGGAACGTCCAAGATCTCCGTTTAGGGTGCAGATTGCTAGCTTCAGTTTCCCTAAAAATCTAGGAGCCAAATGAAATAGTACGAGCGCTTCTTCAAGGAAGCTCCCCCTGGAACCTTCCTTGAAGAAGTGTGAGCTATCCTGCGTCCAGTAGCTACAGTAGTAGCTACTTAAGCTACTAGCTACCATTCTACTTCTGCTAGCTACACCTCTTCTACTAGCTGCCTACCCCCCCTAAAAAGAGAAAAGCACTTTCTTATCATCGCTTCACACGTTCCGTCACGTTGCCTCTAACAGGTGCGTCGAGCTCCCTTGTCCTTTGTCGTCCTCCTGGGTGGCTGTGGCTTTCTCGGGACGCGGCTCCCGGCCACGAACCGTGTCCTTCGGCATGCGTCAAAGCAACCCGCCAGGGCCTTAGAAGCCGAGCATGGGTTTGTACGCTTGCACCGGTTCTGGGTTGACAAGTGTTCCTTAAAGATGTTTTCTTGGGCTTTTCCGAATCAAACATTGACATGTGACAGCTTCTCAGATGGTTGTCCTTGTTTGGGTCCTCCTAGCTTTCTCGTGACATTGCACTCTTCAGAAACCGGGAATGAAGTTTGAATACCAGAACTCTGGCATTTCGGCAGGGGGCATGTGAACACATTGTCTTTAACATGACCCAGACTCAGGCTGAGCTACCTACTGTATATATTTATATCAATGTCTTTTATACCAATACAGGTCATTTTAGAAGTTTTTCCAAGGAGTTGTTCCCATAAACACTTCCTAGTCTCCTATGCTCACATAGCCTCACTAGTTCGCGAGCGGCGAGGGGAACATCAGAAGCAAACTGTACTTCATGACAATATTGAGCATGACGATCCAGTTAATGCATGAGACCTCTCATGTTTGTTGCACTGAAAAAGCCCTGCGGTGCGTTTGCAAGCGCTGCAGTGAGACTTCATAGTTTGCTTTGGTACTAGCATCTTGAATCTAGGCCTCGCACGCGTGAGAGATGCTTTCACTGCCTTTTTGCGTTTGACTGTTTGACTTGTCTCAGTTGGGCGCCAATCCAACACGTATCTGAATGTATCAGCTGAAGGTACATTGATTTCTTGAGTCACACCATGGATGACCCCCGTGGCTAGTACACCTAGTTGCTAATACACCCAGTTGCTATTCATGCTTGTTATGCATCCCATTCACAGCAGCTAGTCTGTCGCGAGGGCACCTGTCTAACACAGTGGTTTGCCAGCCATAAACCCAAATGGTACAGCTGAGTGTTGCAACAGAATCTGAATGGACTCTTGGGATAAGCAACCAGTTCCTGTTTTCTTCACGATGGTTCGAGTTCGGAGCGAGGTACTCGAAGCAGAGGCAAGGGGTGCGCGATTTAACCTGATATCGCTGATGTGATCAGAATTTCCCAGACGTGCGGAGTTTGCCGTTTGTTCGCTTTTCGAAAAGCAGCGGAAGAACTCAATCCGCTTAATTTGTGCGCCTGCTTTTGAGTAGGGACTTGACGAGA